GAGCGAAAGTCCGTTTCCCGTCGGCCGGTGGCCGGGCGGTGTCCCAATTGGGCTATGGGTGTCCCGGGTGTCCCGGGCGTCCCGGCGCTGACGCATGTCGCTAATTTCATAATTCATTTTTTTCGGCGCCTGCGGCGGGTTTTCTTATCCAATCCAGCTTATCTTATCAAATCCATCTTGTCCTATCCAATCCATCTTATCTTATCCAACTCATATTGTCCCATCTTATCCTATCCCACCCAATCCAGTCCACCCAACCAAATCCATTCAGAGAGAGAAAGAGACAGAGAGACAGAGAGAAAGAGAAAGATGAGATCAAGGTGACAGGCTGGAGGTCAGTCAGGTGGGCATTTGATCTCAATCCCCCCCGAACCTCCTTATCGCCCGCAGGGCGTTCGTACAGGTGTGCTTGTATACATATATATACATATACATATATATATATATATATATATATATAGGTATACATATGTATGTTTGTGTGTGTGTGATGGGACTCTCTCGGACTATGATGGAGGCCGTCTTAGGCCGTCTTGGAGCGCCGTTGGGCTGCCTCGGGGCCTCTTGGGCGCTCTCGGGCCCCTCCTGAGCGTCCGGGCGAGATCTTAAGCCGTCTTGGGTGCTCTTGGGCCGTCTTGGGGGTCCTTGGGCGTTCTTAGGAGTCTCTCGGCCCGAAAGCGGGGACCGCTTCGGCCGTGCAGGGGAGGCCAGCACACCCCCATGGAGGAGGGGGGGTGGGTGGCGGGGCAAATTTTGGGCCCCCCAGGGCCTTACCCGGCAATCTCTCTCTCTCTCTCTCTCTCTCTCTCTCCCTCTCCAATTATATAGATATGTATGTATGTATGTATGTATGTATGTATGTATGTATGTATGTATGTATGTATGTATGTATGTGGTTGTATATATATATATATGTATGTATGCATGTATGTATGTATATATGTATGTTTGTATGTATGTATGTATGTATGTATGTATGCATGTATGTATGTATGTGTATATGTGTATGTTTGTTTGTATGTATGTATGTATGTATGTATGTATGTATGTATGTATGTATGTATGCATGCATGCATGTATGTATGTATGTATGTATGGATGTATGGATGTGGGCATCGGAGTCTGTAGGTATGTATGTATATGTGAATATGTACATGATTGTACGTATGTATGTATATGTGTATGCATGTCTGTCTGTCTGTCTGTCTGTCTGTCTGTCTGTCTGTCTGTCTGCATTCACATATTTGAATGTATGTATGTGTGCACCTAAAGGTTATTATCATTGGTGTTCGCTGGCCGCGGAGCCTGGGCGCTCGCGGTCTTGAAGAAGTGTATGGAATGATCCACGATGACCCTGACCGGGACGTCGGGGAGAGGCTCCGCCCCAGGGAGGCCCACCGAGTCGAAGCCGTCCAGCACTGTGCAGCTGCCCCCCAGGTAGGGTATCTCGCCCAAATCGGGGCGCTCCGCGTCGCGCCTGGGGCTCGCCGGGACCCAGGCCCTCCCCCCCTCCTTTCATGCTTCGAAGCAGGCTGAAACAGAACAGGATCGCTCCCAATGCCGGACTCATGTTCGATGCGAAGGGCCGACTGCGCGCAACCCGACCTGGGAGAGAGAGAGGGCCCTGGATTATCGGCCGTTTCACTTCTCACTCGCAGACTGGAGCGGAGGGGAATCCCACCAGCTCTTCACGGCGTGAGTGGTTTGGCGAATTTCCTCTTCCAACACCGTTCTTCCCACATCGGGGAGTGGATTGTCACTATTCCCTATAAAAAAACATCCCCTCCACCAGGGGACCAGCAGCCAACCAGGACCAGTGAGGCCACCCCCCCTTCACCATCCCTCTCAAAGAACAATGTGAAGGTCACTTGGGGGCAACATCTTGAGTCATGACCGGGGAGGGCGAAAACGCTCTGTATTGTTTTTTGAAAGGGACTGCGGGGGTGCCCGCATATTGCCTGCTGCGCGCAGGGCCAGCATGCGTGTCAAAAACAATACAGCATGCACTTCGAGGCAAAATCTGGATCATGCGCGGGTGCCCCGCGATCACTGTACATTGGTTTTTGATTGGGACAGTGAAGGTGCTGGCATATTGCCTGCTTTGCGCAGATCCACCAGACGTTATGATGGCCACCCCGCCGCGATTCCGCACAGGTTTTCGACAAGGGTGGTAGGGGCCGACACGTTTCCCGATGTGTACTGCCACGTGCGCAGGCGCACCTCGCCTTTGTGCGCGTGCACCGAACGTAGCGCACCTGGCGCGGCCAGGGCATACGGCACACGTGGCACACGTGGGTCATGTGGCGCACCCAGCACACCAGGCGTGCCCGGCACGCTGGGCCCACAGGGGTGCCAGGCGCATCTGGCGCGCGTGGCGCGCCTGGCACGCCTGGCGCACCTCGTCCCTTTGTCACGCACGTGGGGGGGGGGTCTGCTTTGGTTCCGAGTAGCTGTCAATCCAAAGACTACCGCTGAACATGTTGGGAGGGCGGATGGGAGTGAGCGACACGGCTTGCGGGCGGGGAGGCTGTCTTGACCCCTCCGCCTACCCCCTACCCCTGGACCTAGACGGGGCGTTTCGCGGGCAGCTGGAGCGTCCAAGATGAACTCGGCGAGAAGGCCCAGATCATTGATTTTCCTTAGAGGGGATGTCAATTCACTGCGCCCCCCTCCTTTGAGGTGGCCTCATGATGGCCCCCGAGGCCCCCCAGGGTGCCTCAAGATGGCCCCGAGAGGTGCCCAGGAGGCCCCAAGAGGCCCCCAAGAGGCCCCCAAGAGGCCCCCAAGATGCCTTCAACAGGCTACCAATAGACTCCCAAAGAGGTCCTAAGGGGCCCTCCAGAAGTACCCAACACGCCCCAAAAGGCCCAGGGGACTTCCAAGAGACCGCCAAGACGCCCCAAGGGAACTCCAAGAAACCCTCGGAAGATATCCGAAGGAACTCCGAGAGGCGTCCAAGAGGTCCGGCCTTTCTGTTCGCCCTCCTGCTCTCTTCCTCCTCCTCCTCCTACTCCTCCTCCTCCTCTTGCTCGTCCGCCTTTTCCTCCTCCTTCATGCTATCCCTTCCCCTCCTCCCCCTCCACCCCCCCCTCTCCCTCCTCCTTCTCCTCCTCCTCCTCTTCCTCCTCCTCCTCCTCCTCCTCCTGCCCCTCCTCCTCCTCTTGCTCCTCCTCCTGCTCCTGCTCCAATTCCTGCTCCATCCTCACTCTCTTGTGTTTTGACGTCCTTCTCAGCCATTTACTCCACTGCATGCTCCTCCACATCCCTGATCAGAGAAACTCGTCTGGGCAGCGTGTCTGGATGGGCTGGTGGGGTTACTTTTTTTGATCGAGACCGCGGCGAGACAGAGTCGGGCGGCGTCCAGGATATTGCACACGGGCAACGACCTAAATTAGCGCAGCGGAAGAGGAAGGCAAAGAGCAAAGAAACAGAACGAGCAGGTGGGCTGGTGGGGTTACGCGAAGCGTCTATAACACGAATCGGCAACTACACCAGGCGGGCACTGCGGCGGCCAGAGGGGCAGCTGACAGAGGCGGATGAGAGGCCGGACGCCAGGCGGAGGCAGTCGGACAAGTGTTGAGGATGCCATGACAACGGGCACTCTTACAATCCCATCTTCTGATTTGAAGATGTGCTTCAATGGTGTAAAACATGCTCTAAGCATGCTATTCCACATGTTTAATCCATGTTTGAAGCATCTTTTAGACACCTGGAAATCTTTTGGCAGCATGCTTCCTCTCGGTGAATCGACTTCCCCACGAGACACGTGCAGGAGGGCGCTCGGGGGCGAAGCAGGCGCACCCGACGGCGAGGCGCACGAGCCGCGGGCCCAGTGCCCGCCCGAGAGGCGACCAGGGCGGGCACGCGCTGGGGAGAAGCCGTGCACGATCACCCCGCACCGTGCCCGCAGGCGCACCCCTCCATAACAAGGGATATGTCGACCCCTATCCCAGGCTTCGTGGGGTTTCCGAATGGACCAGAAATTTGGGGCCCAACCCTGGGATATACGATGGGGGGGTGCCCATTCTCGATAGGGGTGCGTCCGAATAGCCCCCTTGGGGTGTATCCCAGGGTTTTTTCAATTTTTCTGAACGGCCAAACTTTTTGGGCGAAACTCGGGGATTCGGGGAGAAACATCGCCTGCGACTCCAGGTCCCTCCCTGCAGCGGTCGCGCGGGCGAGAGTTCGAACCGCATGTGAGCGCGCACGCGGCCGCTCCCCCGTCCGAGGGGGGGGGGAGACGGCGGGGGCAGGGGCCACACTCATCAATGAAGGGGCCCTGGGACACACAGATAAATACACACAAATAAAAAGATTCCCCATATTTTCCTATATTTTCTGGGTTTTTGTATTCCCGCCCACTTCCCATATTTTCCCATATTTTCTGGGAATCGCCGATTAATTGTGTCTGTGTGTTTTTTCCCCTCCTGACCTGCAGCGGTCGCGCGGGCGAGAGTTCGAACCGCATGCGAGCGCGCACGCGGCCGCTCCCCCGTCCGAGGGGGGGGGGGAGACGGAGACGGCGGGGGCAGGGGCCACACTCTCATCAAACATGGCCCGGGGATCTCTTCAGGAGGGAAAGAAACACACGGACACAATTAATCGTCGACTCCCCAGAAAAGATGGGAAAATATGGGAAGTGGGGGGAAGACAGAAGCCCAGAATATATATATATATATATATATATATATATATATATATGAAAATATGGGGAATCTTTTTATTTATGTGTATTTATTTGTGTGTCCTGGGGCCCCTTCATCTCTCCCGGGCTGCGGCCTGGATCTCTCCCGGGCGGCGTCCTGACCAGGGTTCCGAGGCGAATCCAGGCGGGGCGACGAGTGCCCCCCCGGCAGCTCCAAAGAAGGAAGCACGAGGGACGTCTTCTCCGAGTGGCCCTTCGACGTCAAAGAGGGGGCTGCACAGGAACACGTTGGTGTGGAGCCCCACCCTTGGCCCCTGGGAAGGGACAGAGGGGTGCCCACTTCGCGGTCCCGCATCCGGAGGCCGTCCCCAGAACGGCATCGCTGGAGAATCTGCGTCGCTGGTGGCCCCACGCGTGTTTGACGGCCCGGTGAAGGCACAAAGAGATCTCACAAGACGCCAGGCAGGATACTTTGATCCCCAGCTCTGGAAATGGACTTGCTTGAAGACCCGGCGGGTGCAGGCAGAGGTCGGGGAAGTCGAGGAATGATAGCACACGCATGCCAAATGTTTGGTCGGGCGTGTCCTCCTGCAGGCGGATTTTGTACGAAAGATAATCAATAAATCAAAACTCATCAAACATATTCGAATGATGCTAAACATACTCAAACATCCTCCCCATACTATTTCTTGACTGTGTTTGGATATTCCTCCTATAGAGGGACACGCTCGACTTAAGCCAAATGCCAAATGAGGAGAATTGCGCCTAACTGTGAAACAAGTGGCACGCGCGCCATGGCTCTTGCACAGAAAGGAAGGGGGAGGAGGCGGAGGGGGCGCGCTGGCTGGTGAATGTGGTGATGGAGGGGGCGCTCGGGATGGGGGTGTCGGGGCAGAGGGGGCGCGTTGGCTGGTGGATGGGGGGATGCGGAGGGGGCGCTCAGGGTGGGGGGCGGGTGCCGTGCCGAGATGACTTGGTCAGGGCGGAGGGGGCGGTGCCGCGCCAAAACAAAAGGGTCGGGGCGGAGGGGGCGCGCTGGCTGAAGGGTGGGGGGGTTGCGGAGGGGGCGCGCGCGGAGGGGGCGGAGGGGGCGGTGCCGTGCCAAAATAAAGGAATCGGGTCGGAGGGGTGTGCCGTGCCGAAATAAAAGGGGTCGGGGCGGAGGGGCGCGCTGGCTTGTGAGTGGGTGGGTGGGGGGGGGCGTAAAAGAGGTCGGGGTGGAGAGGCGCGCTGGCTGGTGGGTGGGTGGAATGGGGAGGGGGCGCGCGGGGCGCGCGGGGAGGGAGCGGGGACCGTGCCAGAATAAAGGGGTCGCGGGGCGGAGGGGGCGCGCTGGCTGGTAAGTGGGGGGATGCGGGGGGGGGCCGTGCCGAAATAAAAGGGTCGGGGCGGAGGGGCGCGCTGGCTGGTGGGTTGGGGGGATGCGGAGGGGGTGCGCCGTGCCGAAATGAAGGGGTCGGGGCGGAGGGGTGTGCCGTGTCGAAATAAAGGGGTCGGGGCGGAGGGCGCGCTGGCTGGTGGGTGGGGGGGATGCGGAAGGGGTGTGCAATTCCGAAATAAAAGGGGTCGGGGCGGAGGGGTGTGCCGTGCCGAAATACAGGGGTCGGGGCGGAGGGGGCGCGCGAGGGGGGGGGGGCGGGCCGAAATAAAGGGGTCGGGGCGGGGAGGCGCGCTGGCTGGCGGGTGGGGGGATGCAGGGGAAGGGGCGCGCTGAAATAAAGGAGTCGGGGCGGAGAGGCGCGCTGGCTGGTGGGTGGGGGGGATGCGGAGGGGGTGTGCCGTTCCGAAATAAAATGGTCGGAGCGGAAAGAGGTCAAGGCGGAAGGGCGCGC